ACACACACACACACACACACACACACACACACACACACACACACACACATCAATCAAGCATATACAAACTATGGGTTGCACACCCGTGCCCTCACGGTAAGTCAATACTATAATGACAATAAAAAAGGCCAAAAAGGTCGTCCTGTCCACCAAAGTATGGGTTTGGTGAGTAGTGCGCTGAGGCCCATCATCGTCAAACCAACTGGCCCCAGGGGCCAAGTCCCACTTAACCGGATTCTTCATTTCTGGCCGTTGATTTCCATGATCTACGGTCGGGAATGGAGGATCCGGGTAAGTGGGACTTGGCCCCAGGTAATGCAGAATTATTTTGTTTTGGTGCTTGATTTGAACTTTCGTCGGTATAACAACCGTTCATGGATGTACCAACTGAGCTACCGGCAGGGCCTTGGGTATCTTTCTTGCTCTCGCGGACAACAAACCTAAAATTCTAGGGACTTTAGGCCAATTTACGAATGGGCCCATCTCAGTAGGTACAACCCCCCGATTTGTCTATTGAAATATAAATCCAATTTTTACCTCACCAAAGTATGGGTTTGGTGAGTAGTGCGTTGAGGCCCATCATCGTCAAACCAACTGGCCCCAGGTAACGCAAAATTATTTTGTTCTAGTGTTTGATTTGAACTTTCGTCGGTATAACAACCGTTCATGGATGTACCAACTGAGCTACCGGCAGGGCCTTGGGTATCTTTCTTGCTCTCACGGACAACAGGCCTAGAATTCTAGGGACTCTAGGCCAATTTACGAATGGGCCCAGCTCAGTAGGTACACCCCCCCGATTTATCTATTGAAATATAGACCCATTTGCGAATCCAGATGACCAGAGTCGCATTGGTGAGGTTGTGCGGCAACGCCTACCTCACCAAAGTATGGGTTTGGTGAGTAGTGTGGTGAGACCCATCATCGTCAAACCAACTGGCCCCAGGTAATGCATAATTATTTTGTTCTGGTGCTTGATTTGAACTTTCGTCGGTATAACAACCGTTCATGGATGTACCAACGGAGTTACCGACAAGGCCTTGGATATCTTTATTACTCTCGCGGACAACAGGCCTAGAATTTTAGGGACTCTAGGCGAGTGGGCCTAACTCAGTAGGTACACTCCCCCGATTTGTCTATTGAAATATAGATCCATTTTCGAATCCAGATGATCAGAACTTCATCAAACTTTATGTTTGTGAGGGCTCGCCAAAACGAAACGAGCTTGAAGTACCCCCCTGCAACTCACGGCGCTCACGGCCACCCTCAAGATTGGTGAGCTTGCCACGAGTCCAGACTACCAATCTGGATGGAGTTTTGTTGTTTTGCTTTACCGTTAGTCGACACGCCAGGACACAATTCCTTAAAAAGAGAACTTTGATGAGGTGATGTGGCCAGGCCTCGTTTTCGTTAGTTCTCGAGGTCGGGCCACGTTGGTGAAAACTCGCCAGCGATTTTCAAGTTCGGTGAGCAACTTTACCATCTCGAGAGTGTTCGATATCTTTTTCTTTTTCTCCCATTTCCAACTCGTTCGCTTCTCTTCTTCACTGTTCCTCATCTCTTCATAGGTCTCGCTTCACTACTCCCAACTTCATAAAATTTTCAATAATCCTTCCGCATCTGTCAGATTCTTGATAACTTCTTCAAATGGTTATCAGTTTTTCGAAGACTTAGAGAGTTCCATCTTCGTTGCATTTATTCTCAAAGGTAAGACTCTTACAATTCAACAGCATTGCTTGATAACACTGCCCAACTCTTAAAAATGTTTTTTGTCCACCTTGACTCGAGGTGGGCTTTCGAAAAAAATACGTCATTTGGAGAGTATGACCGAGGACCCTTAGAAACAAGTCACATGCGAGGACTTTCAAAATTAGTAGTTTCAAGGGTAGTGTTTGACAACTCTCAAAAAAGTTTTTTAAGAGTCTCTTTTGAGAGTAAGTAGAGTAAAGGTAAATGTTAGAAAATTGAGAGTTAATAATACAAAAGCAAGACCCCGTCTCGCTTCTATACGTACACTATCAAGAAACATCAAACAGCCTGTACCTTTCCCACACCTACTAAACAATACTAGTGATGATATTTGAAGCCCATCGCCCTTTTTTTCATAAAAACAAAAGGTCATGCTCCACTACCCCCTATTTCTCTTTAAAACTTTAGTCCTTCTGGAGTTGTCAAACATCAAGAGTTCTCTATTTTTCCGTTTTTGCTCAGTAAGGGGGTTCATCTCACAACTTTGCAAGAAAGTTAGGACCTATTTACATTAATTACCATCTGTCGAGTTTAGTGAGTCAGTGGATGGTTACATTTTGGCGAGTATAGTGCATGGTTACCCATACTGGCCAACTTGAAGGTTAACAAATGTATCATAATCTTTACTAAACTTTATAAGTAGGTGAATGGCTGCACTTTGGTGGCAAGTAAGTGCATGGTTATAGGTACAGGTCAACTCGAAGGTTGAAAAAAATGTAAGAATTTTTGCCAAACTTGGTTTCTCATCCGTCACAGTCGTAGGCCACATCCCCATCTGCCACAACTTCTGACCACTCCATAAATAAATGTTTTAGCAAGTTGTGGACAGTGCATGTGGGATATGTTTATCCTCAATAAGGATGAATCTCACCGCTTGCAGCACAATCACCCCTGCCACCTCCACCTCCAGCACCGCCACTTTACCAAGGCTACTAGTAGCAGGGTTATCACTAGAAGACTCATGTAGCGAACACTTTTCCAACTCCCGACAATCGAGCGTGGTTC